TTATTAATAACATAATGTCATACTTAATAATTCGTTAATTAATTATTTTTAACGAAAATTTGACAAAAACAAAATTTGTTGGCCAAAAAAAATATTACCATTAAAAAATAATTTTTTTGTTAAAATTTCGTAGTAAAAAAAATTTTTTCAAGACAATTATTTGTGACCTAAAAAAATATCACGATGAGAATATAATTAACAAAAAAAATTACTCGTAGCACAGAAAAAATTTCACCATGAGAAAATAATTTTTTTTAAATTTTATTTGTAAAAAATTTATTGGTAGCTCAAAAAAAATATCACGATGAGAAAATAATTTTTTGTCAAATTTTCTCTGTAAATAAATTAATTAACTAAATAACGTACCGTAAAACGGGGTTATTTCGCTCATTGCGGGTAAATTCGCTCACCCACTTTTATGCTTTATTTCAGCTTTAAAATAAAGTTTAATACATTTATTACCAGGTTAAATTTTCGTAATAAAAAAATTAATTAATTTATTATTAAGCTAACTAGCAAAATTAAACGCGCGCAAGCGCGCCAAATTGAGGATTTAATTATTTGTTATAAAGAAATTAAAGATTAATATTATTAATAATAATTTAATTTATTAGAATATTATAACATATTAAATGATAATAATGAAAATTATATGTTTACAGGCCTCGGATTATACGACTTTTTCCGACTTTTTTCAAAAATACGACTTTTATCAACTTATTTTAATAAAATGCGACTTGTTTTTTACATTTGAAAAGAAAATGTAAATAAAATACATTTTTTTTGGTATAAAATGTAGATCTTCTTCAGATCTTCTTCAATTCAATTATTTAACAAATTTTGAACTAAAATGATTCTTCACTAAATTAATTATTTTTAATAATTTTAATGAAATACATCACAAATTCAATTATATCAAAATTATTTTTCAATTAAAATTTTTATGAAATTTAACAATTGTTTATAATTTAAAAAAAAATATCACAATAAAATTGAATTATTTTTTAAAAATTTCAATTCAAGATAAACTAAAATTCAATTATTACCCGAAATTTTAATTCAAAATCAATTAAAATTCAATAATTATCCAAAATTTTCAATTTAAAATTTAATTATTTACCAAGTTTTCAATTTAAAATGAAATAAAATTCAATTATTTTCTAAAATTTCTATTCAAAATTAATTATCCAAATTTTCAATCAAAAATGAACTTAAATTAAATTATTATAAAAAATTTCAAGTAAAATTCAAGTATTTCCCAAAATTTTTAATTCAAAATGAACTGAAGTACAATTATTTTCCAAATTTAAAATCAAAATTAAATTTCATTATTCTCAAAAATTTTAATTCAAAATTAATTGAATTTTCAATAATTTGAATTTAAAAGCATCTAAAATTTCTAAAATTTTCCATCGAAATTTTTTTTTTTGAAATTTAATAATTTCAATTATAACTCTAAGGAAATTCAATTATTTTTAACTATTTTAATAATATTCTTTGAAAATTCAACTATGTGAAACCATTTTTCAATTAAAAATGATTTTCAAATTATTGTATTTTGTCCGCATTTTCTAATAAATTTTTAGTGAAATCATCTAAAATTTTAATTACAAAACACTTAAAGTTTCAATTAATTTCAAAAATCTCAATTTTAAATCTTTGAAAATTCAATTAAATTTAAAAAATGTTTTCCAAAAATTGTTTGATAAATTATTTTTAGATCTGTAAAATTTAATAATTGTTTGAAAATTAACTATATCTTTTGAAATTTAATTATTTCTAAAAATTTCAACTTTAACCCTTCGAAAAGGATTATTATTAAAAAAAAATTTTTATTTAAAAATCTGTAAAATATTTTTGTTAAAATGAAAAACAAATCCACTTTTTTTTGGAATATAAATCGACTAAAACGACTGTTTTGTGTCTTTAAGTTGATTCGAGGCCTGTGTTTTTATAATTAATATTTAATAGGTAATCGTTGGCCCCTGGTACCTTAAAAATAAATTTTTTTCAAATTACTATCTTGTACGAAATTTCCTGGCGCATCTTTTTTCTCATTATAAATTTTTTGTATTTGTATACAATTTTTGAATCAATATACAACTTTAAAAAAATTTTCGTTGGTAAACGTTGTGTACTTCAGCTTCGTGAATTGAATTTTCGAATTTGGAATTTTAAAGAAACTTATTCCGAAATTTGGAAACACAATTATACAACTTTGGCAAAAATGAGAAAAAGAATTGTCAAAATTTGACACGTCATAAGATTACTATATTCAAAAAAATACGTGAAATCAGAAAAGGCCAACTTCAAGTTAGGACAGAAAGACAGACCAAACATTTTATTATTATATAATTATTTAATTAATTTTTTTTACAGAGAAATTTTGACAAATAAAATTATTTTCTCATCGTGATATTTTATTTGGGCCACAAATAATTTTTTTATTGAGAAAATTTTAAAATAAGTAAATTTCTCATCGTAATATTTTTTTGTGCTACGTATAATTTTTTTGTTAAATTTTTTTACAGAGAAATTTTTACAACAAAATTATTTTTCATCGTGATTTTTTTTAAAAACACGAATTTTTTTTTTCAAAGAAAATTTGAAAAAAAATTATTATTTTATCATTGTGATATTCTTTTGTGCTACGAATAAATTTTTGGTACATTTTCGTAGTAAAAAAAATCAACGATTTATTACGGTATTTAGTGAATTAATTGTTTTTAAGAGAAAATTTGACAAAAAAGTTATTTTCTTATCGTGATATAATTTTTTTAGGCCACAAAATATTTTTTTTACAGAGAAAATTTAAAGATAATTAAATTTCTCATCTTGATATTATTTTTGTTCTACAAATATTTTTTTGTTACATTTTCGTAGTAAAAAATTAAGTAACTATAATAATTACCGTAAAACAGGGTTATTTCGCTCAGTGCGGGTAAAGTCGCTCACCCATTTTTTTGCTTTAAATTTGATTAAAAACTAAAATTTAGTATTTCTATTAACAAATTTAACATTTTTACCTGCTAATAAAGGTATTAAACTTTATTTTAAAGCTGAAATAAAGCATAAAAGTGGGTGAGCGAATTTACCCGCAATGAGCGAAATAACCCCGTTTTACGGTACGTTATTTAGTTAATTAATTTATTTACAGAGAAAATTTGACAAAAAATTATTTTCTCATCGTGATATTTTTTTTGAGCTACCAATAAATTTTTTACAAATAAAATTTAAAAAAAATTATTTTCTCATGGTGAAATTTTTTCTGTGCTACGAGTAATTTTTTTTGTTAATTATATTCTCATCGTGATATTTTTTTAGGTCACAAATAATTGTCTTGAAAAAATTTTTTTTACTACGAAATTTTAACAAAAAAATTATTTTTTAATGGTAATATTTTTTTTGGCCAACAAATTTTGTTTTTGTCAAATTTTCGTTAAAAATAATTAATTAACGAATTATTAAGTATGACATTATGTTATTAATAATTATTTATGACATTAATTATTTATTAAGTTAATTATTTGTCATATTTAAAATAAAATAAAATATCTAATAAAATCAAATTTTTCAAATGTTTCCGCGCTGCGCTGATGGCTCAGCTCTGGACTTAAGTTCGCTCAACGCCACAGGGAGGGCGAACATCATAACTGTTTCTCGCAGTTGAGGTGCCTTTAGATTGGTATATAAGCAGTGATCGAAAATTTTTTTTTTGTCGAAATTTTTTTCTGCCCGATGTCTCTCCTTTATTGGATTTGAGACAAATTCTTTTTTGGAAGAAATGGTTTCACTAATATTTTGATGACCATTTTTTTATTTTAATTTAAATATTAAAAATAAAATAATAATAATAACTATAAAAAAATAATAAAAATAAATTTTTTTTTAAATTATTGATTTTTTAAATTATTATTAAAATTTTTAATATTGGATATTGGACTTACTAAATTACTAAATAAATAATATTAAAATAATTTTTGCAACATCGTAAACGACGTAGTAAACGACGTAGTAAACGACGTAGTAAACGACATCGTAAACGACGTAGTAAACGACGTAGTAAACGACGTAGTTTGCTATCCCAAATTCCGCTTTCATTTACGACGTCGTTTACTACTTCGTTTACTACGTCGTTTACTACGTCGTTTACTACGTCGCAAACTACTTAGAATACGACGTCGTAAACGAGGTCGGAATTTTCAACAGGGAACAGAAAAAATAAAAATAAATATACAAAATAATAAATAAAATAAAAGATAAATAAAAATAATATACAAAATAATAAATAAAATAGTATGAATATGATTGACGATTGTGAGAATGGCTGATTGCTACTTTTATTTTGATTGTTTTATTTGGTAAATTGTTTTTATGTTTATTTTATTTATTTTTCTTATTTTCATGTTTATATCTATAATTTATTTTTATTTATTGTATTCAAACTATTTTAATTATTATTTTCTATATTGTTTTTGATTTATTTTGCATATTGATTTTTTATTTTTATATTTTCTGTTACATTGTTTTTTGTATATATATTTTGTATATTTATTTTATTTAATTAGCTGACTACCATCTATATTTTTGTTTTTGTTATTAATTTTCGTCTCATATTAATTTAATTTACTTTCTTTGTATTTTTGTTTTTAATTTAATTTAATAATTTTTTTGTATTATTAGACTCCCTGAAGAGGAAATAAATGTGATTGCGAAACGTTAAAGAAAATTTTATTAAAATCCATTTGTCTAAATGTTATCGTTTTTTTTAAATTTAATTCATTGAAAAATTCTGAATGTTTAACAAAATTTTTTTAGAGATCTCGTACAAATTTTATACCGATCATGGAAAAAAAATTAAAATCGGTTAAAAACTGTATTCTGTAGGGGATTTTGAGACAACTAATGTTATTTTGCCCCACTGTCATTCAGAAGAATATTTTAATGTAGAATCACATGACCTTAGTCACATGCCCTTAATATTTTAGAAGTTTACTCACTATACTTTAAAAATGAAAGAAATTCTTGTCCATATAAGGTGTGCTATTAATATAACGCTCAAAACTGAATTGCGTGCATATACTATAACACACTTTCTATTAATAAATCCTGTAAAATGTAATTTTCTTATCAAGAGGTAGGATTAGATAAGAACAAAGTATAAACTTTTTGTAGAATAACCTTAGATTCACATTTTTAAAAATAATTCAAATATATCTAAATTTTAATATTACTTTATCGTTGACTTTTAACACCTAGCAGTATTTTTATGTCAAATGCAATGATGCATCAAAAATGTTAAGAACAACTGGAATGTGTTCGAAATATGTTTCTTCTTAGTTGATTAATTACTTCGATGAATCAGGTCAACTCCAGTGAACATGACTGAAATGCAAAGATTCTGTAGCAGCAGGTCAAAACTTGGATGTTTTGTTTACATCAGAGAAAGTCTATAACAATCATATAGATACAGAACAGGGAATTAAACTACTCTTGTTCGCTGTAAGGTGGTCGATTGTCAAACTAAAATATCAGAATAGCTATGTTAAGGTGGTTCCAGAATAGGTGCAAAATACGGAAGCTTCTACGCGCCACCTCGTAACGAGGCGAAACCAACTTATGCTCGTTTCATATAAGGTTATTCAAGTTGGGTGTGGGAAAGCCAAGATGGATGATGGCTGGTGCACAATCAGCCATCATCCATCTTGGCTTTCCCACACCCAACTTGAATAACCTTATTTAGCATACAGAACATTGATGTTTCAATGTTCTTGTGAAGAACACACAAGTTGGTTCGATGGTTCGACGGCTTGGTGGTTCGATAAATCCATTCATCTTTAAAATATAAGATGAAATTTGTTGTATTTAAATAATCTATATGTATAATAATTGCAATGAATTTTTTAATATTAATATAACAATAATTAGTATTAAAAATATTTAAGTAAATGAAGAAATATAAATTTATATACAGGGTGCTCAAAAAGTTGCAAGTTTCCATAGTTTTTGAACATCCTGTATATATTTAAACATAACCTTATATAAAAATGAATCTATATATTATATTTTTTTATATTATATAAAAACACAAGAATCCAACTTACTTTAAAATAACGATATTCTCTACATTTAAAATTAAAAAATTTACTCAAATTATTCAACGTAAGAAATATTTCATCTTATAATGATTTTTTAATGAGTAATATCGAACCACCGAGCCATCGAACCAACTTGTGTGTTCTTTACGACAAGAACATTGAAACATCGATGTTCTGTCTGTTAAATATGAAACGAGCATAAGTTGGTTTCGCCTCGTTATGAGGTGGCGCGTAGAAGCTTCCGTAGCAAAAGCCAAGTACACGTGAAAGTCCAAATGGCAATCTCATACGGAAGCGCCTACGAGTCACCAGCGAACTATCTTGTTCGCGTCACATTTTTAGCTGTGAAACCGAGGAACGCGTTCGATGGTTTCGCTGTTTCCTTGTTTTTGAGTGACGATAAAACACACTATACGGTTCGATGGTTCTCTGGTTTTACTTAGTTCTATCGTTATCGAAGTCTAAATTTTGTATTAAAAAAATAAATTTAAATTTAAAAACCGAAATATAATAATATATTTAAATTATATATTTGAGATATATCAGATATCTGATATCTTGTATTAGGCTTTTGCACCTATTGTAGAACCTCCATTAAGTGTCACGTCCTAGACTTCAAGGAACTAAATTTCCGTTAGATCCATGAAATAGCCAATGAGCTGGATTCTTGTACATTATTATCCACTTAAAAGCGGGCATTGAATTTAAATTCAAATTAAATTTGAATCTATTTTATTATAAATAATAAATCAATTGTAGGATATTAAATAAATAAACACTTATTTGATTGGAAAAACCCCTCTCGCGTAAAAAACCTATTTTATTCAGTTTGAAGATTGAAAATTAACAAATTTAATAATTCTCAGGTGAATTGTAGAATTATGATTATCGTTTTGTTAATTCAAATAAAATTTCGATTTATTTGATAATTCACAATAATTAATTATTCGATTATAATAATTAAAGAATTATTATTCGTCTTTAAATGTTTAAATATTATTTACAATATTTAATTGAAATTATTCACAATATAATATTTATTGTAATTACTCTAAGTTAATTACAATACTTAGTTTGGAAATCAGAAGTTACGCACAAAACGTCTTGCTTCTAACAATTCTCGAAATGTTCTGAAATTCAAGACTTTTGACTTTGAAAACCATCTTTATTTATCTTTCAAAATTATACTTTTTACATAAAAAGATACATATATTTCTTAATTTTACTTAGGAAAAGTACTATATTCAGCGCCTGTTATGCATGTAAACTTGTCTGAATGTTTCTATATTGTGTTGTCTGTTGTTTGTGTTTTTTGTAGTATTTGTGTTCTTTCTTTGGGTAAAAAGGTTACGTAATTAAAAAACCCCATTAGAAAATTTTGTACTTAAAAAACTATGTGACTAGGAAAATATAACTATTCTTAATTCTAAAACTTAAAACTACATAAACTAAATAAATACTTTAACAAAATAACAGTGGTTTTATATAAAATAGATATGTCGTTTACAAAAAGATTATATAATTAACGCATACGGTAATTTGTGTTTCAGCCTGAATGGAGCCGTGTCTCTGGTATACATCCTAATATTATCTAATGCTTTATTTTCCGAAATTTGAAAGTTGTAAAATTTGTACGTTAAGTCTAGGATATCTAAAGTAATTTCGTCGATATCTAATTTTTCTCTAATTTTTGAATTTCTTGTTCTTGGTTTCGCTTTAGAAATGATTCTTAAAATCTTGTTTTCAAAAGTTTGGATCTTTTGAATGTATGAAACAGCGGCACTGCTCCATATTGGCACAGCATATAACAAAATTGGTTTTATAAAAGTTTTATATAGTAACAATTTATTTTTCTTACTGAGTTTACTACTCCTATTAATCAGACTATGTAGAGTACGACTCATAATATACCCTTTTTTACATGTTTCACTAATTTGGTTTCTAAATAAAAGCTTATGATCTAAAATCACGCCTAGGTATTTAATACTATTTTTAGTTTTAATATTAACGTCGTTTACATTGATCTTAATGTTATTTTCATTTTGTTCCTCGCCTTTTTTGCTAAATATAATGAACTCTGTCTTTGCTGCATTAATTTTAAGCTTCCATCTGTGGTAGAACCTCAGGAGTCCATTCAGGTGCCTCTGGATGTACTCGGTCGCCTTGTACTTCTTCCACGAAGAGGCAAAAAGCGCCGTGTCATCCGCAAAGATTGCTAGTTTTGAGTTTTTATTTTTGGGAATATCATTTAGATAATATATAAAGAGAATGGGCCCAAGAATGGATCCCTGAGGTACCCCTGCTACAATATTTTTGGTGTCTGATTTTTGCTCATTATAAATAACATTAAATTTCCTATTACTTAAATAACTTGATATTAATTTAATAATGTATGTAGGAAAACCAAGTTTAACTAGTTTGTAAATTAAACCCCTGTGCCAGACGGTATCAAAAGCTTTCTCTATATCAAGGAAAACGGCTGCCGTGTGCCGATTCAAGTTAAAATTTGTTGTAATTTCATTCGTTAATCTAACCAATTGTTTGACAGTGCTATGTTTTTCCCTGAAGCCAAATTGTTCGGGGATAAGTAATTTGTTAATGTTTTCATGTTTTTTTATTCTAATTAGAATTATTTTTTCAAACAGTTTGCTCAAGGTAGGAAGGAGACTGATGGGTCTATAACTTTGCGGAAAAAGCTTGTCCTTGCCAGTCTTGTGAAAGGCCAAGACATTTGCTATTTTCCAAGCGTCTGGAAAGTACGACAGTTTAAAGCAAGCGTTAATGATATGATTGATTTGAACGATAACTTTGTTAGGTAAGTTTTTAAGAATGATGTTCTGAATACCGTCTGGACCAGGAGCTTTCTTGGGGGGTAGATATTTTAGTTCTTTTTTAATTTCACTTGGAGATGTTAATTCTATAGTATCTGCATCTACTTCTTTGTTTCGAAGGGTTCTACAAATATTATACACTTCCCTATTAGTAACATTGTCGCCCATATTTTCGGTGAGATGATGCACCTTCTCGAAGTTGTCTGCTAAAACATTCGATTTCTCTAAGTCATTATAAACCAGTAGGCCATTTGGCCCGTGCAGTTTAGCAATGCTGCCTGTGTAAGGTTTAGTAAATACTTTAGCAGTCTTCCAAAGACTGTTATCCCTAACTTTAAGATTTTTTAATTTATTATTCCAAGCTTTATTGTAAAAATCTTTGATTTCTCTCTTTATAATATTTGAAAATCTATTTTTAGTTACCCTAAGGTATTCTGAATTAGTTCTGAAATTCAAGCCGTAGATGCTCGCTTTATATACCTTAGGTTTTATCCCCTCTTAGTCATTCAACCAAGGAAAGCGTCATGTCGTGCTCATCGACCAATAAATCTCAACGGCTCAAGGCCAACTCGTGAATAATCGTTACGATCTCTGCTACGCAGTTAACGAGTAAAATCAATAATAGGCTCTGTCACTTGTGACGTCAGAGGTGAGACTTCGTAGGCCTGGAGGGACAAGAAAGCAGACGACACATTGTAATCTTATGAAGAAATTAATTTGATGTCACTTTTATTGAATTTACTCAAATCTTAGTCACTTAAAATGCTTATTGGCTTGAAAAAATAGTCTAAGGTAGTCTACTAATTAAATGTGTTATACATTTGATGCAGTTGCATCGCAATATTTGAAGGATTTTCGATTAAATACGTTTTAGTGAGGTTAGGAACATTTGTTTACATACTTGTTATTTTATACGATTTGCGTTGATTTCCATTTAAAATATGTTCTTCACATATTTTAAATATAATAATATGTACAAAATATCGTTTTATTATGCATTTAAAATAAAAAATTTACTTTGTAAACAAACACTCCTAACCTTACTAATACAAATTTATTGACAAATCTTGGAATATACACATGTAACTGGCTCACATGCATAACACATTTGATTAATAAAGCACATTTTATTGTTACTTCAAGCCAACAAGCATTTCAAGTGATTAAGATCTGAGTAAATTTAATATAAGTGATTTCAAATTTATTTCTCCATAAGATTATTACATGTCGTCTGCTTTGTTGTCCCTCCAGGCCTCTGACGTCATATCTTGATCTCGAAATATATCGATGAACTGACAGAGCCTAATTTGCTATTTTCAGATTAAAAGACGTCTCGTATTATGGAGCGGCCACACCTCGCCTGCAGGAGCAGTTGCCAATGGCAACCGTGTAAGAGTAAGAGAGATGGAAAATCTTCTATCTCTCTTACACTTACACGGTTGCCATGGGCAACTGCTCCTGCAGCCGAGGTGTGACCGCTCCATTAGTCATTGCATTACTGCGTAGAATAATTGCCGCCATATTGAATTTTAATACCAAAACTCCTAAATAATAAAATATTATAATTTTCATTAATTTTAAACTATAAATAAGCATTTGTTTATTTATTTACAATTGTTGTTTTATAAATATAATTTTAATCGCATAATAATATTACAATATATAATAATAATTAATATTACTATAAAATACTTTTACGCTCAATTTAATATCATTTAAAAATATTTACTACTTATAAACAATATCAAATAATATTTTTTGGATTTTTCAATAAATATTTAACTTATATTTTCTTTTTGTTAAATAACAACAAATATCAATTTTATAATAACAATTACTATATATATATATATAAATATATATATGTATATATATATATATATATATACAGTAAGAAAAGTTCCATGGTAGTCACAGCCCATGAGTGCGAGTGAGACAAACTTATGCGTAACGCATGCTTTCCTATGACTACCATGGTACTTTTCTTACTGTATATATGTATGGGACGTTTCACGTCAACCTGCCCAGAGCTCCATCCAAAATTCTAATCAACGAAAATCAACTTATTACGGCTCAAAATAATCGTCAGCTCATACTGCTTCGAATAAAAAGTGGCGAATTAAAAAATTCAAAATGGCGTCTTTACTGTACCATGTTTTGCAAATTTTTTTTACTAACTCAGCAAAAAAAATGTATTAATTACCTTGAGAAAAAAATTGCAACTTGTTGGATATAGATTTTTCAAAATTTAATTTAAGGCTATTTAAAAGCCTCAAATTAGCTAAAATTATATAAAAGATTTATGTAGAGTAAATTTTAAAAAATATTAAATTTCTATATTAAGGGGTAGTTTTGGGGATTAAGGGTAGTATTTTGAAAAATTACTTTTATGATATTTAAGATCCTTTAAATAAAGCCTAAATTTGTATACAGGAAAAATTTAAAATAACTAATTGAATAATGTGAAAGGGGTGGTTTATGGAGTTAAGGGTGGCGAATCCATCCAATTTTTAAACATTTTATTAGCCATTTTGGAACCACCAATCTTATTTTATAAAATACAGATTCAAATTCGTAATCACCGACCCCAAAAATCCCTGAGTAACAAGTTTCAAGCAAATCTGATAATTTTTAAAAAAATTTTGGTCGCCATATTGGATCCACCATTTTGAATTTTGAACATTTTTAAAATCTGACTTTAGATTCGTAATCAGCGACGACCCCAAAAACCCCCGAGTAACAAATTTCAAGCAAATCTGATTATTTTTAAAAAAATTTGGTCGACATATTGGATCCGCCATTTTGAATTTTTAAAATCTGACTTTATATTCGTAATCAGCGACCCCGAAAACCCCCGAGTAGCAAGTTTAAAGCGAATCTGATCAAATTTTAATAAAAATGTCCGCCATATTGGATCCGCCATCTTGAATTTTGAAAATTTTTAAAATCTGACTTTAGATTCGTAATCAGAGACCCCAAAAACATAAGAGGGACCCATTATCCAACAAGTTGCAATTATTTGCTCAAGGAAATTAATACATTTGTTTGCTGAGTTAGTAAAAAAATTTGCAAAACACGGTACATTAAGGACGCCATTTTGAATTTTTTAATTCGCCACTTTTTATTCGAAGCAGTATGAGCTGACGATTATTTTGAGCCGTAATAGGTTGATTTTCGTTGATTAGAATTTTGGATGGAGCTCTGGGCCGGTTGACGTGAAACGTCCCGTATATATATATACATATATATATATATATATATATATATATATATATATATTTCATAATGAAAAATAAAGAAAAAATATATTTCATTTAAATAATTTAAAATTTGACCTGAGGCTGCAGTCCCATGGCAGCGTTTTGCGTTGCGTTTTGTCACTAGACCATGAGTGTAAAAGAGATGCAGATATATGTTTGCTATGTTTACACTCAGGGTCTAGTGACAAAACGCTGCCATGGGACTGCAGCCTAAGTCTAAATTTTTGAATCTCGATTGAAATTTCTCGACTCATTTCATTCACTTTCGAGTTCCCTAGAAAATTTACTAGAAGCAGATGCCAGACCTCACATTAAGGTACGGTCACAGCTCACCTATCTAACAATAAAGGTGCTTTTATACCTCCAGTATTTTGGTCAAGCAATCGGCTGGATTGAATTTTCACGGAGAATCACTAAATTTGATTGGCTCTAACAATATTCAATTTTCACGGTGGAAATGGAATATTTGTCAGATTAATAATATTTAGTGATTCAACCGTGAAAATTTATCGCTCGCTAAAAACCAAGAAGGTGTAATAGCACCTTTAGTAGGGTCGTCATGGTAACATATAAGAGTGAACGAAATAAGAACATTCTTTATTTCTCTCACTCTTATGCGTTACCATGACGACTCTACTTAGACAAATGAGCTGTATCCAGGCTTCTAAAGTTACGCGTAACTTTTAATTGTTTACGCATAATACAATATTATACACTATGTAAAATACGTATAATATACAGTATAAAACCCCCAACTCCTTTAAAATTTTTATGTAATTTACATGGTAAACTACACGTAGAAAACTATGTAAATTACTTGAAGAAATTTACGTTCCGAACCCTGGCTGTGGCCGTACCCTAAAGTTAAGGCCACACCTCTGCTACCTGTGTAGGGTAGTCATGGTAACGTATAAGACTGAGAGAAATAAAGAATGTTCTTCACTTCTTTTAATCTTAGGCTGCAGTCCCATGGCAGCGTTTTGCGTTGCGTTTTGTCACTAGACCCTGAGTGTAAACATAGCAAACATATATCTGCATCTCTTTTACACTCATGGTCTAGTGACAAAACGCAACGCAAAACGCTGCCATGGGACTGCAGCCTTATACGTTACCATGACGACCAGAGATGGGTACGTAGAAAACCTCAAGTATAATACATCGTATTTTACGTGTAATATACACGTATTATACATGAGTTTTATACATGTGTTTCCGTGTGAAAAAAAGGACACTGCATACTTCCCGAGTTCTAATAAGCCGTTTCCGAATTGGGATTTTTAGCCCATACTTGATAAAGTGTATACTCGGGAAGTATGCAGTGTCCTTTTTTTCGCACGGAAAAACAAGGACACTGCATACTTCCCGATGAGTATACACTTTATCAAAAGTGAGCTAAAAATCCCAATTCGAAAACGGCCTAAGGCAGATCAACTTTTGACGTAGTATTGGGATCTGAAATACTGCGATACGCCATCTGGTGAGAGCCTTGTTGTGGAGGCCATGTTTTCATTACGTGTTTCTCTAACATATACAAAAGAAAGAGATAAAAAACCAAGATGGTTGTCACAAGAAGGCTCAGGGGTGGGTCAGTTTCGCGTGATTTCTGATCCCAATTAGGGTGTATAAATAAGTCATGAATCTCTGTTAGTGTTATTGGCCTAAGCACAACTGAGTCGGGAACGCAAGTCGAATACGGAATATGTAAGTTCCCGCAACCGTCTTTAATTGTTCGTTGAAAAAACACAACAGGTAAAAATATAATAACTTCTAATTAACATTTCAGTATTTGTGGTTAGAACTAGACAAAATGTAAACAAACAATACACTTCTATCGTGTTGCGCCCTCAGTTGCGGTAGCAAGTTTTGGAACTAGCGTTTTGTCTATTAACCCAATGCCCTCACCACACGGAAAAAAATAGTTCGTGAAACTTTCGTAAACTAGTTGTTCACTTTTGGACGGGCCCAAAGTTTGGAAATCTTTCATTAACTTTTTTCAAGATTCCACAAACTTTTTTTTGTGCGCGTGCGTAGACATTGATTGTCATAAAGAGAGTGACGTAATGGAGCGGTCACAGCTCTGCCTGCTCTGCCTGCCTGCCAAAAGCTATTTTTTAAAATAATAAATCAGTTTTTATTATTTAAAAAATAACTCTCGTTTGATGAAAAATGATTTACTAATATACTTATGTTCGAAATTTAGTTTTTAAAAAGTTATTTAAACGAAAAAATGATTAGATTCGTTGATTTGAATGCATTGTTTGTCCTCAAGTAACCGGACATATTGGAAAGTGACGTCACTTATGTCACAAGTTGAATTGTTTTATTCCCGAAGTTATTGTGCGTTAACCCTTAGATTTTCTATGGGTTTAATGACATTCTCTGTCTCATTTCAGTAAATATAATTAGAAAGAGGCTAACTGATATTTTGCCTGCAGCAATTGTCACATACTTTGTTGAGCAACCGAGAAAAAACCCCCTCCTTCACCCCCTAATCCCCCCTGACCATTAAATGATGAGTGTCTACTACAGCATTCTTATCATTTATTTGTCTTATATATTCAGTGATTCTTGTGGTTGATTGTTGTTGTGAAACTTGTCTGAAGAGAAATTTTCAGTAAATATAAAGTAAATACGGAATGTTGGTTTATAGTTCTTTTCACATCGAACTTGTTGAAAATCTAATTTTTGAAAATAATCCATAGTTTTTGAAGATTTAAAATCCGATAGTGTGTAAGCTAGTTAAGATGTCTTAAGTACGATCAAGATTCAGGATACGAAGTGCATCTGATAAAGGCGCCATTAATACGTTCTTTGTTTGTTGTTCCGTTATTTGTAGTAATAACGACATACTAACCAAATAGGTTATATTATAAGTGTAGTGAAGAAGAAAGGAAGAGACAAAATACTGTGCGAGAGAAATTAGTTTGGATTATTTACAGTTCCCATTGTCATATATTATTCATTACAAATATAGGTATGTTGAAGTGTCCTTATCTACTTTATGCATATTGTTGATTAACTGATTCTACAATAAATTTATGACGTCATATTCAATTCTGAATAAATTTTTTTTATCGAACTCATACTTTAAAAATATCATTTTTGCAGAAATATTGTTTATAAAAAATTAATATTCTGATTCTATGACAAAAAAAAGTTTTTTATTAAAATTTTTTAACAATACACAAAAACAAAAAATAATGGTTATACACTGAAAAAAATAGTATTGAACCAAGATAATTTTACTTGGTTCAAGAAAATCGTGGGACTGAATACGGTCAAATCAATTATGCTTCTGTTTCAAGAAAACCATTTACTTGATGCAGTATATTTGAAAGAAGAATATATGTTCTTGATCCAAGAAAATATGGAATTCGATCAAAGCGTTAATCGACTTCTATGAGTAAAATATTTTCTTGTTCTAAGAATATCTGTAGTCAAATCAATTATTGCATTTGATTAATTTAAATTTTTGTAATGTTGGTTCAAGTCAGTAAAGATTTAAATCAAAATATTATTTATATTGTCAGAAGAACGTATGTTCATGGTCCAAGAAAATATGGAATTCGTCTAAGAAGTTAATTGACTCCTAAGAAATATAAAATATATTAAGTAAAGATCATATATATATATATATATATATATATATATATTAAATCAAGAAAATATTTTCTTGACTTGAGAAAACTTATGGAGTTCAACCAAAAAAATATTTTTCCAATACAAGTAAATATTTACTTGAATTACCCCCCATCCCTCCTACACCCCTTCCTCATCCCACCATGTCCAATTCTTAAGTCAAACATTTTAATTTATTATTATTAACATTCGTATTTTTTATTATTTATTTTACATGTGCGATTCCAGATGAGATTTTGACTTTTTCGGAGTAGGTTAACCGATTGCAATGAAACTTTGGAATTTTGTTATATATAGTAAGACTAATCTTTAACGTAAATTTCAGCTTAAAATATTTGTTAGTTTACGAGATTTGCAATAATAACAAAAAATTTTTAACTGCTATATCTTCCGTTCTAATAATCGGATTGAGGTCTAGTTTTTTTTAAAATTTCAAGGAAAATGAGAGGAATAAATCTCTTTCAGAACAATTTTTTATAATTTTACAACTAAAAAAATTATTAAATAATAATTGAATAAATTTCACGCGACAATCTAAAATTCAATCACTTAAACGCTAAAATGATCTTACCTGTGTTTTCTTTAATGTTCTAAAGGAATCCAATTGTAAATGCAAGTTTAACTTATTTAATTTTAATAATTTACGAGTATAAACAATTGCGATTTCTGCTAGTTGACTTGCAGACGACATTTTTTCTTGCGATAATATAATAAATGTAAAAAATTTGGGTCTTAACCTTTTTTTTCTTAAAAAATTATTAAATTAACGTTTCATCTAAAATAAAAAGCATATGCTGTCATTTTAGAACAAAATTAAAAGTATGTCAGTCCCCGAGAAATTTACTACTTTTCGGTGCACTTTCACCGATTTTATTGAAAGATTGTTTAAATGGACATATATTTTAAACGGTTAAAGATAATTGAGTTTGGTTTTTTAATAAAAATTCAGGACAACTAGACGTTTAAAATATGTTGTTAACATTTTTTCATTTTTGTAAATTAACAAAGTTATTTAAACCTACGTCTATAAATGTTTTTGCGGCAACTTCGATATGTAAACGTAGGTCATTAACGTCCCACTGTGTTTTTAATGTGCTAAAAAAAATTCATGGAATTTTTTACAACCCTCATTTTTATGTCTCCATCTTGAACATACAAAAAAAATTATTGTTGCATTTGTTTTATTAACAAATGGAGCAAATCAGTAAAAAAAACATCGATTCATTCAAAAAATCATAACTTTTTTAAAAAATAAGATATCGGAACGTTCTAAACAGAAAATTAAACAAAACAAATTAATTATTAAAAAGTAAGAATATAAAAAAATCATTATTTTAATTTTTTTAAAATAAACGGTATAGAGCAACATTATTTCAGTTTACAAATTTTTATTATTTAAAAAACTGTCTAAATATTCAGAACTGTAGAATTATTTGAACCACTGTTTAAACGTGTAGTTGCTCCTTATTAAGAAATTAAATATAACTTTACGAGACATATAAGAAATGTTTATTTTATATTGCTTTATTTTTATATTTATTTATTTTTTTAATTTCATCCACATCCAATAACAAGAATAATTTGTAATTTGTAATTTGTAATTGTAGCCGACTACAAAAGTTGTAAAATTAAGAAAAAAACTCCAAGTTCATTAGTTTATGTTTAAAAGATTAATAAATGACAGTAATAATTTATTTAAACAAATCACGGTGTGCTTGAATCAAGTCTAAATAAAAAGTTCTCCGAAATGGGGTTTTTCCACAGATTTTATTAATTTGAGCCTCCCTGAGTATTTTCCAATAAAAAAAGAAAAAATCGGTCGGGCCGTTTTTGAATGGGGTTGATCTTAAGGGTTGAAAATCGGTAAATGGGGAAAAAAAACTTTTTTAATCAAAAATATATTTAAAAAAAACTTTTTTGATCAAAAATATATTTTTTAATTAATTTGGACTATTTTAAGATGAAAATATTCATCTTCATTTTTTTGTATTTAGATTTTGTTTTATTTAACTATAAAAAAATTTAAATTATAATACAGAACTACAATAAATAACAAGATTTGTAATTTAAAGCATGAAAATTATTTATTTTATCAAGTCAACAAGAAAATTAACGTCCGTTTGATTAAAAAATTCTAATATCATATAAAAAGAGTATTATACATGAATACCATTAAATTCACAAACGGCTCGAAATAAGCGCTTAGCATAATCGGGATGATTCGAGTGAACTTTGTATTTGTTTCATATAACTTTAATTTCATGATGAACAGACTCAAAGGCTTGTTCGCTAAATACACCTAAGCCAACATTATGTTTTTCACAAAATTCTTTAACCTGATAAAAAATGCAATGCACTTTTGGTGTTATGGAGATTTCCAATTCCAAATAGCTTTTTTTAAAATTATCTATGTACTTTGCAAAATTAGGATCTAAAATATTACTAAAACAAGCATCAGCCACAGTTCGAAAATCACTAAGAACTTGCACATACTTTAAACATCCTATAGGGCAAATACGACGTAAATCATCTAATTTATTTAATAACTGCCTACAATTATTTCCATTAAACTGCTGTATTTCCAAACTGTTTTTCCATATGATTGAATATACCATTTACTACTCCCAAATACAAGTGAAGTTCTGGTGGTGGTATTATATCAAGCATAGTTTTATCTTGATCAACATTAAATATTGGTGGGGAAATGCAACATTTAAATTTTTTGGCAAATTCTTTTTTGGCGCCGGCATGAACCCAATCAGTATAGTTTGCTTTGATATTCTTGATTGTGCACAAAGTAGAAGATTCACTGAGAGATCCTTTTAAAACATCACACCAGGTGCACGGATAACTACTACTTAATATGTCAAAAATGCCCTCCTAAAATTTTAAGTCGATCCGAGTAATAGTTTTCGAGACAAATCAGTTGAAGTGCTACCTTTTATCTCAAAATGAAAGTGTAAAATGTGTATTAAGTCGAATTCACAATCTTCGAATGACCAGTTTCACAACTCTCTATTCATACGAATTGTAAATTGAATGAAAAATTATTTTTTCGAAAGAACATTTGATCTTACTTGAGATTGTGCGCATTATATTTTAATCAAATTCTCATTTGCTATAATGTGAAATTACCGTCATTTTTATATGTCGGAATCACCACTTAACCTAATTTTCAGCTGATCGAATTATCAAATGCTATAATGTAAAAATAACCGAAATGCCAATTCATAGAATGATAATTTTTATTAAATACGTTATTTCATAAACTTTAATTATCCGATTTATAACATAAATTAAACAGCATGTTTTATATTTCTTATTTATCATAAACTAAATACGTTGTAATTATTATTTAGCAGAATTTCATTTATTGGAAATTAGTTTAAATACATTTTCGTGCTGTTTAATTTATGTTATAAATCGGATAATTAAAGTTTATGAAATATCGTATTTAATAAAAATTATCATTCTATGAATTTGTAATTCGGTTATTTTTACATTACATTAGGTTAAGTGGTGATTCCGACATATAAAAATGACGGTAATTTCACATTATAGCAAATGAGAATTTGATTAAAATATAATGCGCACAATCTCAAGTAAGATCAAATGTTCTTTCGAAAAAATAATTTTTCATTCAATTTACAATTCGTATGAATAGAGAGTTGTGAAACTGGTCATTCAAAGATTGTGAATTCGATTTAATACACATTCTACACTTTCATTTTGAGATAAAAGGTAGCACCCCAAATCAGTTATAGTGGGTGGCGCAACCACTGTAACGTATAGCACTATCGTGGCAGAAGAAAAAAAAATTTCGTAAGAATTACCGAATTTGTACCGAAATCGAGGATTTGTGCAAAAAACCATAATTTTTCATGAATATTACGTAAAATCTATCTAACTGTTCTGAAAGAATTCCGAAACTGTATCCGTAAGTCTTTTAACTTATCAATAAAAATAAATTCCTGAAAAGTCTAGAACTATTTCATAATATTTCAGGAATTCTCCCGTAGAAATTACGTTTCTTGTGCTGGAATATCTACAATCACCTTATTCGGAATACCTTCGTTTACAATTCCGGAAGAATTCCCGAACTCTGCCGTAAGGGAGATAGGCGCACAAACTCCGCGCGCACGTTTTAATAGTGTGTATGTAAACATGTGGAAGCAGAGTTAGGATTATGTATATAGCAAATTTTTCACGATTGCATACTGAATTTGCCTTAAGGAAATCCATAAATTTTTATAAATCAACAACTAATGCGTGGAATTAATTTTCTTCATGTTCATTTATGTTTATTGGAATAAAAATTAATTTGAAAGTATTATT